GAATAGTGAATAAAAGTGAGAAAAAAACATTCTAAAAGTTGATTATAATTTACAAATTTTGAAGAATTTATAGTTTTGCAAGTCGTGGGGAAGGGCATGGAAAAGTTTGGGAACTTAGCTTCTAATATAGACGGCAGAATAAACGTTTAACACTACAACCAAAAGGCAAACCACAATGTTTTAGTGTGTTCCTGTGTTTGCTTGTCTGTCTGTAGCGTTAGCCAAACATCTCATGAACCAGTGGATCAAGTTGAACAAAACTCTCAAAGTAATTAGTGGAAACAAACACCTATACAGATTCAAAACGGATGTTAGAGCTGAGCAACCTTTGTAAACACAATAATGGTGACAACTCTCTAACAGATACGATGCTGAAAATGGGCGTGGTGGTAGCTGAGCATCATATATTGAATGAGATTGCTCCTTCGCAGCTTAAAATGATTCATTTAAAACTCTGGTGTGGAAGGAGGAGGACCTTCATTTTCCCATCTCTGGAACTTGGAGCTTACGTGTCTGCTGGGTTCCTCGGCCCGTGTCGCTGCTGCCGCTGCTGCTGCTGCCCAGGCTGGTGCAGCTCTGRTTCAGATTGTTAGAAACCAAACTGGGAGGGACTTTTCTGTCAGGACTCTCATCCAAGTCRTGTGCGGACAGCATGTCTTCATCCAGCTGGGCTGGGAAGTCTCGCCCGCCCTGAGGCTGCTCGTCCTGAAGGCAGACGTCAGGATCAGACTGYGTTCACAAAGACTGAATCAAATGAATCGATTGGGGAGGTTTCAGGGAGACTCACCTCGTCGTCTGAGTATGAGTACGCCGACGCCACCGCATCCCACATTTTGGTGGCCACGTTCGCCGCCTGCTTCATGCTTGATTTGAGCACGTTAATTTTAGGTCCTGACAACAAGGTGTCCATCTTTATGCCTGAAATGGTRTTGATGACGGACCCCAGGGAGGCCCCCTGCGAGGACTTGACCATCGCCGTCAGAGACGAGGACCGAGGGGCGGGGCTCGCCGCGGTGCTCCCGGGTGTCTTCGCCTTCGTCTTTACGGCGAACGTCTTGGAGCGGGTGACGGTGTTGGGGCTGCGTTTGGGCGTGCCGCCTGGCGAGTCGGTGGGAGTGTTGACGGGAGGGACGGGCAGGCTGGACCGCCGCTCCAGAGGTTTTTGGGCCTGAGATCCGTCAGCGGAGTCTCCCTGCTGGAGCTCCATGCTGGAGAACTTGGTGCCCAGAGGGCTCCTCAGGTTCATGTACATTTCGATCTCCTCGGCCAGGTTGCGGGACACAACGAGCGGCACGGAGCGCTGCGGCTCCTGGCTGGTGACGGAGGCCGACTCTTCGTTCTCCGACACCAAAACGGAGAGCGGGTCGGCTCCCGCCTGAACGTCGGCCCTCTCCAGGGTGGCTCCTCGCACTTCAGACTCGTCCCCAAGCGTTTCCGTTTGCTTTCTCTTGGGTTTCGCCTCTTTCCCGTCTCCATTTCTTTGCTCCGACGTTCCCGCGCTCGTTTCCGCGGCGGCCTTSTTATGAGACGAGCCGTTCTGCTCTTCAGGCTCCTCCTCCAGGTCTGCGAAAGGAAATTTGGACRTGTTGTTGGGTGACGGGCTTTGCGCTTCGGAGAGCGAGGCCAGAATGCGAGCGTCGGCGCCCATCTGTCTGGCCATGTGGTCCACGCCTTTCTCCAGGAGCATCCCGGCTCGGGTCTCGGCGCTGAAGCTGCAGGTGCGTTCGGAGAAGGCCTTCTGCCGCTGCTGCTGAGTCGCGTTAGCTGCATCTCCAGCTGTGAGCGACGAGTCCTCGTCGGCCAGAGACACGCTGTCCTTCTTGCCTGGTCTCCTGAACAGCACTCCTGTCGCTGCAGAGTGGATTTAAAAACAAAAATTAGTGCTGGGCATAGATTAAAATTTAATTGCGATTAATGTCTTTTTTTTTTAATAAACGACCACTCTACTATGGCTGAATCAAGGAGGTTCTATAGAACAGCTGGAGTGCACAAAAACCACGTGACCATGTGATCGGCTGGTGAAGCTAACGGCTAACGCTAAACGGGCAAGAGTCTGGATTTCCCATTACTGTACATGTTGACAACAGAGCAGAAAAAAGGACTGACGATGGAGAAATCATTAAAACTATTAATGATATATTAACACAATTATTATTAATATTTTACAGTTTATATAATCTATCTAATGTTTTAAATAATGCCAGAAAAGCTGTTTTTGTTATGGATTTATTAACAAAAGATAAACAGGAAAACGTCTCATTTTACAACACAAGTCAACAGATTTGATCTTATTTAGCTCAATGTGATCTGAGCAGAACACTGTTATTTATTGAACTGGTTAGCAGATATTAGCTTGTGGAGCATATACACACAGTGTAGCACTGTTGAATCATGCTACAATTTAACTAACTATTAAATATTACTTTGTCCTGTGATTAATATTTAGACCTACAGAGTGTAAAATAATATTATAAATGTGAGTATTTTTAGGTTTCTGTTAGAGGAACCTGACTTGTTGAGAAGATGTTAGCTAATAGAGACAAGTTTCATCCAATAACCAGAGAACATTTTCTAACTGTTGACTGGTAAATATAAATATTCTTATTTTTTATGACAGTAAGAATAAATAATAAATATACTTTATTACTTGCTGAAGTCATCATTTTTCAACTAGCTAAAGTCGAAGTTACAGGCTGACTTCAGGTCTGGTTTAGACCATTATTTATAAATTATATATTTTTCTGGTATAAGTCTGCTGTTTTACATGATTGTTGAATGAAATTAACATAATTCATTTATTGTAAAAACATGACCGATAATCTGTGAAACAGATCCGGTTCAGCTTGTTGTTTATCTATTAGTTTCTATGGAAGCTGCGAGTTGTTGCTCTGTTAGGACGCCATTTTTTCTCCTCCATGCTGTCACAGACGCTACCAGTGGATGGTGTGGGCGGGGCTTAGTCTAGTGATATTTATATTTAAGTCTATGGGCTGAATGTGTAGGTTTGTATGTTGCAATACATGTGTGACACATTATGTTTTCTTTTGTTTTTCATTTTTAATTCTTATTGCTTGAATTTTTTTTCCTATTCCTCATAAAACTCATTTGGAATGTCAAAAAAAAAATCCTTGAATTCTTAATTTAATTTAATTATTCTGCACAAAATTTAACTGACTCCAATATGTTTAGAGCATTTCAGGTACTGTTTTATATAAAAAGGGGTAATGCATATAGTGAATAGTGATCAAGATCCCGCCTCCCCGCAGCGACCACTGGGTTTGTGTGTCTGTGTGTGTTTGCGTCTTCACAGGCAGCACAAAGAACAGAGATCAGATGGAGAAATAACGCGATAATAATGCGTTAACGCATGCCCAGCACTAAAAAAAATAAGCACCAAGTTTGGTTTCCATCCTGAACAGATACATTATTTTCCCTCTGTTTGTTCTTACTTGTTTCCCTGCCGCCATCAAAGCTGCCGGAGGACCGTCTGACGATACTGGGGCCAGGCGAGGACACCTCMACAGGACTGGAGGGCTCTGCCACTGCTAGTAGTGCACTGTCCATTGAGCCGGCAATGTCTCCTAGTGCTGACAAAAACAAACAATACATGTGCATGAAATAATAATAAAAACTTTGAGCACGTGAGGCTGAGGAACCTTACTGTTGTGGTCTGGTTTATCGTTTCTCTGCTCAGCTGGATGCGAAGGATCAGCCAGCTCCTGATGGAGCTCATCCTTAGACCCGTACCCCTGATCCGACTGCCTTCCTGCAGGTGAGGATTTAAGCACAAACCAGGATGTTGTGTGAAGTCAAATACATTTGGAAAAGAACTTGATGTTTTGGATGCGGTGACATTAGTAACTATTTGACAGGAGGATCATTTAAATACACTTTTTAGTYRTTAAATACATTTYGTTGTGAACTTGGGAGTCTCTAGGAGAGCAGAAAAGTTTAATTTACTCTCTCCCAGTGCTGCGTAGATATCTTTATATTGGGCCATATTTTGGGTGCAAAGAGCATCGTTTGGATTTAAAGAGACAGCCTCAAAAGGGGTGAAAGARGGRSTTGTGGAGTTACAATAAGGAGGAATTCAAAMCAAGAATTGCAGTTCCCYTTTAAATAAACCCCAAYWGAGTGATTTAAATRTGAAAAAAARAAGGATTTAAAAGCCTGATGTYYACTTTAAAGCAWWATTTCTGATGTTTCAAAAGGAGGTTCTGTAGATGATATCTAAAACAGGTAAGATTCTTTCTTCAGGACTGCTCCACAGCAGTACCTGTGTTTTTACAGTGTTCCTCGCCRTTGACCTCACTCGAGCTGTGAGCACTCCCATGACTCAGATTGTCAGCGCTCTCTGGTGATGCATCTAAAGGACGAAACAGGAAGAATGAGGATTAAAAACAAAGCAAACCCAAACACGWTTAAAGCACTGAACTGTGTGAGAGAACCCATTCGACTCCCACCTGTGGTAGCTCCCTTCTTGGTTCTGTTCTTGGAYGATGTGAGGTTCTGAGTCTGTTTGAACTGGGCCACTCCCCGAACGACGTTGCGTAGCTTGGCCCACATGAAGCGGCCGCTCCGGTACTGTTTCGGCCACGGGCTCTCCAAGACAGCCTGGACAGAGCAGACGAAAGTTAGTCWCGTCCTGCTAAGGGTCACTTAAAACAAACTCTTAAAGTGCCTGTCACATGCTTTTTCTTCAAGTACAAAAAATTAAAGAAAGTATCCAATATTTTAGAAATTCATATGATTTTTACCTAGTTTGTCACAAAACGTGCATTTTTTTGCTAAATTTGGTGCAGACTAAGTGAAACAGGAAGTGATGTCAAAGGGGAACTCTTTTAAAAAATGGTAACTTCCTGGTCTTTATAAATCTGACTCTTCTTTATCTATCTGATAATAGCTGCATTTCCATTGACCATGAAAAAATTAGAATTTCGAAAATAAATTTGCTCAATGGAAACACGTCTATTTAGAAAAAAATGACATTTTTCGACAAAATGGTTTTGCGCTAGGATGTGGTGGTTTTTCGGCCGTATCGAAATTGGTGTTTTTCACAAAACTGCAATGGAAACACTTTTTTCGCATCACGGGAGTCACATAATCAAGAACCATTTCTACTGGCGAAAAAGATGACGACGAAGAAAACAGGAAGTAAAAGTAGTAGTAAAATCACTGAAGTGGTAAAATCACCGACTACAATTTCCCAAAAACACAGCATACGTAGCCGCTCCCAAGTATAAGGGACTCGTCAATCAAAAGCCTCGATAAGACGCCGACATCTCCTCTCATCCATCCATCCATCCATCCATTTTCTTCYGCCTATCCGGGGTCGGGTCGCTTGGGGCAGCAGCTTCAGAAGGGAGGCCCAGACCTCCCTCTCCCCAGCCACTTCTTCCAGCTCCTCCGGGGGAACTCTAAGGCGTTCCCAGGCCA